AACACATGGTTGTCAAAATTAGATCCTAAGGATTATCAGAAAAACAGCAACCGCCAGAATAGCTTGCATCTAACATAGTCTTCAGCTGTAGGCAGACAGAGAAGAAACGAATTTTAGAAACACTGTTTAACTCCTTTAACATCTATTTCTCCAATTTACCCTTTAGTGACCTTGTTTTTAACAAGTGCTCCAGTCTTAAAGTAGACAAAATATTCTGAGCCATTGTCAGTTTTTGTTCTTAAGGGAAATGAGGAAGGTGATACTGCAGATTTTTTATATTCCCAAATTTAGCATTTCTAGACTTACGTATTTAAAAGAACCTTATAAACATTCTTATATACATCATTTTATTATAATTTGTAATTTTGCTGCGGCAGAAATTTGGAACTCTGTAAGACCTCTGTTAGATTGAGGTTATTTAGTGAATGATCCTTAACAAACTGCATTCATGTTTCAGAGTAACTGTATAGTTTCCAAGTACAATTATCTATCATGAAGTTTTTTCTTATACTTCATGGAAAAAAGTGATAGCAAGTGATCAGACTTGAGGGTTCATGAAAGTCTTAGGTGTAGCTCTCAAAGATGTCATAGTTGTAGGATTGGGGGACCAGTTGAGATCTAGAAAGCATATACATTTTAGATACTGTGGCATTTGTTGAAGGTCATCAGAAATGAGGTTATAATTTCAAGGTTTTGAGCAAGGGAAGCATTTTGTCATGAATAAAACCCTCTTGGAATTCATATTTTAAGCCCTTATTAATGATATCCTGTTTCTTCATTCCCAAATGGCTATCTCATTTCCCTCTTTTTCTCAAAATAATTTTGTTTTAAAATACAATTTTTATCTTACCACTATGATTATTACTTTTTTCCTAACAAAAATAAGTACTCAGGACATTTTTACAATATTAAATATTTGTATAATGTTTTATGGTATGTGGGTAGAGGTAGTGAAATGTAATATTCTCAGTTTTGTTCCATATTTGCATTCTTCCTATGTTTTACCTGTATTTTATCATCATTTGTAAGCAGAATTCTAGCTGTGTGTGAGTAGAAATAAATCTCTGAAATGAAAACAAAAAGAATCAACATATATTAAGATTTAGGCCAAGCGGTTTAGGAATGCCCTTTTAAATGTGGGAGATAGGAAAGAAGCCATATATTCAAATGTATAATTTCCCTCCTTTAGTTATAATGACATCATTACCAATTTGGCTTCAAAAATGTGTTTCTTTCTCAATAGTGTCCTAGTTCCAGCTTATATGCAACATGAATTTTATCATTCTCCTTCTAGATGGAGTGTCCTCCTTATAGAAATGTTCACAGCAAATTCATTTGTTTTTTACATGTCAGTAATGCACACTGAATTGACTTTAAAATGTTTTCCAGTTGTTTTGATAGATGATATTATGGCATCCTTAATTTTTCTTCTCCTTCTGTGTATAGGGTAAGGGACTGTTCTTCTGAGGAACCATTTAGTGATCAAGATATATGGAAGCTGATCTCTAAAAATGCTCAAATGTGTGTCCTAATTGTTCATGGTATAGTTGAATTGTAACTTGTGTTTTAGCAGTGCATGTTCCCAGTAGACTTATTGGGAAACTTAATAAAATATGCCTCCTTTTACATATTGTCTCCTGGTTTTATCTTCGCTTGAGTTTGGATTTTCCTCACAAACATCAAAATATCTTCAAAACATTAAGTGTAGAACACCAAACGGTGCGTTATATTTATATTCTTATTACCATGTTTCCCCAAAAATAAGACCTACCCATAAAATAAGCCCTAGCAGGATTTCTAAGCATTTGCACAATATAAGCCCTACCCTGAAAATAAGATCTAGTGATGGGCGTAGCTACTCAGCGTATCTGCACAACCCATACATTTTGTCGCAGAGCAGGAAAGAAGACGAGCAGACCTTCTCATCTGCCCCATCGTGACAGCTACTATCCCAGAGGTGACCGGAAAGGTGCAGGCAGCCCCACCAACAAGGTCAGCTCCCCCTGTCAGGTCCTGGCCATCCTGTGCGTGCTGCAAGCTGAGGCTTTGAGAGGAAAATAACACATCCCCTGAAAATAAACCCTAGGGTATCAACTTGAGGAAAAAATAAATATATGACCCTGTCTTATTTTCGGGGAAACACGGTATATGTGTTTCTGCTTGGGTTTTTCTGGTAATGGAAACATAACAAACGATGACCTAACCCCTTTTTTATAATAGTATAAATTGATTCATTGTCCATGTGGAAACCCGACATATCTTGGGCTTTTATCCTCAGTCTGCCCACTATTTTCTCTTTTAAGGAAATGTTTCCTGCTTTTAAAAACTGAATAAAATAAGAGTAACAGGGACCTTGTGTGAATCTCTAGTACAATCAAGCAGGATTGGAGGTTGAGGGTTAAGTGTCCGGCTTTGTAGAATACTCACTCCAGCTGGAACTAACCACCACTCTGGCAGTTAGAGCCTAGTTTGGTTGAGTCCTGGCTTTATACGAAATGAGTCAAATGGCACTGAACAGCCTTCTTGTTAAGGCCCTGGTAGTAATTTTCTTGGGCATCTAACGTGGCCATGAGGTCATTATAACTGGTACATTTTAGGGAAAATAGTATGCAAAATGTATTGGCTGAGGACCTTTCATATTTGCTTTCTCCGATTAGAAAGATTCAACCTCACAAAGACCCAACAAGGAGCTGAGAAAGTATTGATTACTGGAGAGCTAAACATGGGAGTTAGGGACAAACCAAGTTAAATTTTCCTGAACGGAATTTGTGTGTTACAAATTGCCAAATGTTTCGTTCTTCAAAGATAATGGTAGAAGTTGGCCTGTATTAGTTCATTTCTCCAATTTTTCCCTCAGTGGTGACCTTTATTTTTCACCGAATTAGTATGTGTTGCCCATTTGAACCAAGTCTTTCCCTGTTCATCTGCAGGGTAAAGTTGAGATGGTACATCTCTAGTCCGTGCAGACCTGCCACTTCTGGTCTCATTTCCATCTCCTTTGTGCACTGCCACTCCTGGCCTCACACCAAAAGTCTGGGATTTGAGCCTTCATCACTTATGTCCTTGGGTCTGGCACATGCCCATCAAGAAGCATGACGTTAATTTATTAGGAATTGTTATTTCAGTACTTAGAATTGATTAAATGCTAAGGCAGCTCATTCTTGAACTAGTCTGCCCTCCTGTGTCATTCTTATTTCCCTGGAGTATTTTTTTTAGTTATTTGCTATATTCTAGGCACTTTTACTTAACTAAGCCACTTAATCCTCGAGTGATTACATGAGATAAAAGATATTCTACCCACTTTACAAATCAGGAAAGTGAAGCACAGAGCGGGTAAGGAGACTGCCAGAGGTATTAGAGCTATTAAGTGGCAGAGGCTGGGTTCAAATTTAGACAGCCTGGCAATGGAGCTAGTTAGTGTTTGTAACCACTATCATGCTTCACAATCCTCGATGATGAAAAAGTCCCTTCATCAGTCATACTTTAAAAAGTATCTATTACCTGCCAGGATACAGTAGTGAACAAAACATACATGCCCCTTTCTGAAGGTTTTACAAATAAAAGTTAATCATGACCCTAGAGGTGAGGAAGAAAATCCAGATAGGTAAAGAAGGTAGAAATGAGTGGATACAAAGGGCTTGTCAAAAGTAAGGGTCAGGACTTGGGGAATTGCAAGAATTGAGAGTAAAGATGGTTGATGGGTAACAAGGTCACTGAGTTGGAATTGAGTGAAAATGTAAGTCCATTTTTGCATTATTTTATAAAAGGGATATTATACCACTTTGGATTAATGAAACTATACAGGATATAGGTAAAATTCCATTACACTAAGGGGAACTGACCAGTTAAGTTTATTTTTTATGGCTGTGTTGATATGGTTCTAGGAAATTCTTTGAAATAAGTTAACTTAAAAATTGACTGTTCTCTGTGACCCCTGCTTCTATAAAAACTATTTGAGCTTTTTGCTCAAGGTATAAAACTATTTAACTTTTTACTAAAGGCAAAAATGAAAAGCTACAGTTGCTCTCTTCAACATATATTTGAATTAACCTTTAATTCATCTCATCCATCTCTAACAAATATTCCCACTCATTTGGGGGGATGATACACAGTTAATAGTGGCTGTCTATGTGTGGGATTGGGGGATGGAGAGAGGTCATTTGGTGCCTTTGGGTAATATTTGAAGTTTCAATTGTGTACTATTTTTTAATGTTTAAGAAAAATTAATTTGAATTTATCAACCATCCATTAAAACCAAAGCACAAATACCCCAAAATATCCAAACCTCTGATTTATACATGTTACATCAAGTCTTTACACTTTTTGAATTGCGATCCAGAAACCACTTTGCATTAAAGTTAAATAGCATGTTTTTTAATAATGTGTATCTGTGGGTACCTGCCCAAAGATCCTGTTTCAGTAGGCCTGCAGTAGAAGCCAGAACTCTTACTTATTTCTCTGATTCTTAGGTACAGTAAAGTTTGTCAACATGTAATTTCCCTCTTTCACCTGTTAATGAGTTGCGCTTTACCTATTTGAGAGTTTCAACTAACCAGGGTTAAGACTTTAAGCAATGCAGAGCCTTAGAAAAAAGTTCCAGTAACAGGAGATTTTGGCTGCTCTGTGGACAGTGATGTCATCCGACTTTTCCTTTAACATTTTACAACTATTGGGTCTGAGTGGAAGAGGATTATTTCATGGCCATACCTGTAGTTGGACCCCAAAGAGAACTGATCTTTCTTTCATATATATGACAAAGAAGGCCTGGAAAATGGAAAGTTTCTAAGGATGTGGGAGGAGAGGATCTCGTGTATTAATTTAACAGAACAACTTCTTTAGCTTTTAAGCGCCAAGCAAATGCCCAAAGGATAGGTCAAAATGGTAGATTTGTGGAGAGAAAAGGTGTCAGAGTGGGAAGGACTTAAAAATCATGATATAAATAACTGCAACTCTTATGACTATATAATAGAGCACAGTAAAAGAATAACTACAGCAATAAATCCATTATACCATTTATTGATGATGGAATTATACTGGAAAACACTATAAAAGAACAATCTTTTGAACAGTTTACTAAGTAAAACATTTCTTTGAAACAACATGCAAAAGATTGTCAAATATGTCAGTGTAGAAGTCCCTGGATTTATAGACAGACATCTCAGCAGTGATTTTCACAAGTTCCACTCCATATCACACCCAGCAATTGTTTTGTGTGATTTTTGGGGTTTCTTTAATACCTGTATCTCGGAATAATGAACCATATCTTAGCTGGGCTTCTTGAAACAGATTTGCTCACATTGAGATGTACGAAAGAAGTTATTTTTGGTCAATGGGTGAGCATTTATCCTTAGCAATAAACGAAGGTGACAAACAATTTAGCTTCTGAATATAGAATGGTCTATTCAACACTATATTTTTTCGGTAGAGTTTCTTTTTGGTCCTTGGTGCCTTAATTTCTTCCTTCTGATTGTCAGGAAAAGATAGAGGTATCGGTGAAACTGGTATTGGAGACCTTGGTGGCAGACATCTTGTTGAGACCATTTTAACCAGTGATTGAGTTGTTTGGGCAGTAGTAGGCTTGGATGAGAGTTCTTGGCATGGATTTAAAATGGAACTTTTGGGATTCTTAAAATCATAAGTTGCAAGCGATTGTTTTGTTGTGGATGAGCTTTTTAGAGATGGTGGTCTAGAATTCCATTTACATTTGCCAGCACTGTTCCAATTCCATTTTGAAGCATTTTGTTCAAGCTTGCAAGAACCAGAATTGTTTTTTCTTTTTTCTCGACTTTTATCTACACAAGACATCTGAAGACTCAAAGAGTCAGAAAGTTTTGGCTGTCTCACTTTTGGTATAGCTTTGGAGGAAGAGGGTCGTTCAGTAACTGCTGGAGTACAGCAAGTAGTTTGTAGTCTTGGCCTTTCTTTTTGTATAGTCGTATGTTGTAATCTTTCCAGTTCCAGTAAACGAGTTATCAAGTGTTCAGTAGAGCTTTCTGGAGGGTCCACTGTCGCTCTCCAATTTTCAGATTTTGAGAGGGCTAATTTGTGCAAGTCCAGAGCATTGAAAGGAGGAGGGAGAAAATCAGGATATGGAAATACTTCATTTGGTTCCTCAGTGAAAGGTTCTTCAACATTTTCTATTTTTTCTGGTTTTAAGTTCAGGTCCATCCTTTTAAAATAGCCAAGTAAACTATCATTTGCTTTCTCATTTTCTGATAAATCACTTTCATCTGTTAAATTTTCTTCCATACTACTGTTTCCATATTTCAAATTCCAATTTGGAGCAGATAAAGTTTCACCAGTGCTGTTTTCTATAGTTGAACATGAATTAATATGAAGCTCATTTCTGTCCTTAAAGAAGTCTCCATCAGCATAGGGCCAGCAGAGACCTAATGGCATTGGCAGTCCAGGGTCAGGACAAACATGCTTATCAGCTAAAGCACTTGTCAGTGAGTGGTTCAGAGTGAAGAGCCTTACAGGATTGCTGGTTACATTAAAGCCAGTTTCCACTGAAGATTTTTTGAATTCCCTTTAAAAAATAATTTAATTAATGGTTTGTTGACTAGAAGTTAAATGCTATTAAAATGATATGATTAAAAACCTTTATCAAAGATCAGTTCATGTTTACTTCCCAATGGCATATGTGTAGCCATCTAATAGAAATGTTAACTTCCAAATATGCTCTACCAAAAAAAAACCAAAAAAAACAAAAAAAAAAAAAAATATGCTCTAATTATACACAACTATATAAATTTTGTAAAGTAGAGATTCAAATACTAACTGGGCAGCCCTTTGTGCAAGCACAGGTGACTAGATTATGATACCTAAACTGGCGAACTGTGGCTGTGAACAGACACTCGGTTAAAAGTGGCTATTACCCATTTGCCTATATCATACATGCAATTATGGTGTCTGAAAATAAGGATATCTAATTTAAACTCAAGTTATAGTGAAATGTTTATTAACCAAGAATTAGATGAAATGGAACTTTTAAAGAATGTAGTTAAGTTACTTGACAAAGCCTTCTATGTTAACCATTGTGATTTTTAACTAACACAAAAACAAAGCAAACCATGTCTATCAAACGAAAATTATCACATAGTCCCTATTAATGTTCATCTAATGGTCCTATTTTAGGAGTTATACTTCTAGATATTATATCAAGATGAAACTGCAAAAATATCAGGCCATAAAACACTGAGTTTCTGTATTTTTTAAAGATTTTTTTTTAAGAGATGATGGGACTCTCCCCCTGTCTCCCAGGGTGGAGTACAGTGGCATGATCATAGCTCACTGTAACCTCAAACTCCTGGGCTCAAGCAATCCTCCCATCTCAGCCTCCCAAGTAACTGAGACTACAGGCACATGCCACCATGCCTAGCTACTTTTTTTCATTTTTTTTAGAGATGGGGACTTACTATGTTGCCCACAGTGAGTCTTGAACTCCTGGCCTCACGTGATCTTCCCTCCTTAGCTTCCTGAGTCGCTGGGATTATAAGTGTGCACCACTGCACCCAGCTGAGAAAAATCTTACCAAAATGTTTCATTGATTCCAAACTTCCATCTCTGCAACATCATCAAGCCTACCCAATGTTAACTGCAAATACCTCTCACACACATTGTTCTGTTTAGTCCTCACAACAACCTTATGAGATAGGCACTTTTATGTTTCACCTTTTACAGATAAGAAAACTGAGGTATTGGAGGGGTGAAGTTCACACATCTATAAAATGGTAAAGCTGGAATTGGAACCCAAGTGGTAGAATCCCATGCCTGTGATCCTAACCAATGCATTCTACTGCATCAATTTATATTTGCTCCTCTGCTGTTATGATGAAATTCAGTTCACTTCATTTGACCTCCTACCTTGAAATCCTTATTCCCAGCTGAGTTCCATTGCAAAGAAATAGACTTTCCTGTCCCCATCTGCATTAGGACATTAGTTACCACAATTTCCTTTGGCATTTCTTGATTTCCCCCTTGAATTTTAAAATAAGGTGAGCTTTACCCTGGGCATCACAGAGGAAAAATCTTCTGGCTGGGAGATAGCTGCTGTCAAGTGAACTCTATTGCTAAAACTGGATAAAAGAGAGGCATAGAACTCAGGATCCATGAACTAAGACACTATGTAAAAATGACACAAAGCAGTGTTTAATAAATGTTAATTTCCAAATATTAGCAATGTGCATTTTTAAGAAGCATGCTACCTGGTTGTAATGTACAATGAAGTTTAAAAACCAAAAAATAAGAATTTAAACCCTAGAAAGGCCTATAGTGGCTATGGGCATGGAGCAAGCTTCCACATCTCAGTTCTACCATTCGTTAGTTGTGTGACTGGGCAAGTTACTTAACTTGCTGCCATCCTTTCAACGTCCTCATCTGTAAAACAGGATGATGATAATAGCACCTACCTTATAAGACTGGTGTGAGCGTTAAGTGAATTCATACACATAAGGAATTTAAATAGTTCCTGGCATATGGAAGAGTACTTTCCTATCACAGTTCCTTTTTCCCTCAACGACTCCGAACTCTACCATCTAAACCTTCACTGTGAGGCCACAGGAAGCTCCCATCTCTTACCCATTCTGATTATCTTGTGTCTGCAGCCACTTCCTGTTTTAGGGTGAATTTCTACAGTTTCCCACTATTCTCACACAATATTTTTTTCTTCTGCTTGTTTGTATCCTTGTATTTCGAGTAGTTAACTTATCTGTATTTAAATTTATTTCAGTAATCTAGGACTTTACCAGGATAAATATTCTCTTACTTGTTCTCCATGGTACTTCCTTCATTAAGAGGAAAACTCCATAACTGAAATATCCCTTGTTTACTATTCTGGGAATAGAAAAATCATGGACAATATTTTAGTACCTGCATAAATATTTTTAAAATAATATTTTATGAGTATGATGAATAAAATCCTACCTGTGTTCTTTCGTGAGCATGCTCTGACAGATTAAGTTCTAGCATTAGCTGCTCTACTGGAATTTCCAAATGGTTCTACAATGCAGCAGAAGACTTTTAAACATAATATATTTCTTTTTCTTTTTAAACACAATATATTTCTGTTCCTTATTCTCACTCTAAGAATGTATAGTTTTTGTTGTAGCTAAAGAATATAAAGTCTAATGATATTTCCTTCATACATATAGAAATCATTTGTTTTTACTGATTTCAGCAGAAAATAGTATAATTAATATAATCTATGATAATTACCAACTACACAGTGTTATTAATGAGCTTTGAATATCATTGTTTTTATTTTACAGTTAAGTATTTTATATTTTGATCAAAAAGGATAAAGAAAAAGATTAATTGTCCACTGCTTGAGAATAAGATATTGACCATTTCAACTGCTTCAAGACATCCTGAGGGCTGAGACTATTTCCCCTTTGGCCATGACTAAAAAACACTATATTCACTATAATGTTAATTTCCATTTATAGCATTGTTATATTGAAAAAACTTAATATAACCAAATATTAATTCAGTGACCAATTTGTAGCCCTGTAAAAGAGTAAAGGCTTTGATTTGTTTGAAAACTCTACAGAAATGAAATTTAAAGTTTCACTGTAGGCTGGGCGTGGTGGCTCACGCCTGTAATCCTAGCACTCTGGGAGGCCAAGGCGGGAGGATAGCTTGAGCTCAGGAGTTTGAGACCAGCCTGAGCAAGAGCAAGACCCCATCTCTATTTTAATAAAAAAGAAAAAAGAAAAGAAAAGAAAAGAAAGTTTAACTTTGAGGAAGAAAACTTTTTTAAAGAACATACATATACTTTTAAAACAATATGTTTTGTGAATAATTTAAAACCAAACATTTATCCTTACCTTGTTAATTTTGCCTGAAAGAATATGTATGAAAAAAATGACAATTAATAGTTACATAAAGGTGGTTATTTCAAAACAAGCCCCCTTTTAATATGAGTGATTATTCCAGCATAAACATACACATCTAGGATTTCTTACCACCTGCTGCACTATCCCATCCAGATGAGAGGTTTTTATTTTCAGGAACAGGTACTTCTGAATCCAAATTCCAGTGAGATAAGTTCTAAAACAATATTTGTTTTAGATAAACTTAACATTAAGAAAATTTTAAAAGCTCAAGTACGTAATTTTACATGTTCTTTGGGTAAAGTACAACAAAAGGCACAAAGCTACATGACCCCCGCTCCCTCATTATAAGGATACAATCAGCATCTTTAAGGGGAATATAATTTTCTCTTATCAAACCATTATCAACTTGATAATATCTATTATTCTAAAAATAGAAAGGTTTTTATAATAAATAGAAATATTTTATAGTAAAAAATAGAAAGGTTTTAAAATAATTTGTGGTTTCATTCTCATTTTGTCAAAAATAATGACACAGGTTTTCAAAATTGATTTTAAAAATGTAATAAAATGTTCAGTGTGTCCCTGGTACACAATGGCACATTCATCTAATTTTCTGTATATGAGTACCAGATCTGATAGCCTATAAAAATCATTCCATCAACCATAGAAAACTTCCAACCTCCACATTATATTCCACACTAACCAGCCCACTACTCATTCTAGATTCCAGGTGTTGAGAAACACTCAGGAAATATTCAAAAGAAAGCCAAAAACTGAATGAAAAGAGAAAGGTACTAATTTCTGCTGAGTATTTATGTTCCAGACATTGTGCAGAATGCTATGGGAGGAAAATGTAGGGTGTATATAGGGGAGGATTATAATAATTTATTCTGGAAAATGGAAAGTGAAGAGGTGATTAGTTTATATGAAAGTAATTTTTAAAGAATGAACTCAGTTGTTTTCTATATCAAATAAGAAAAGCTTTTGTAAATTATTATTTTTTCACCCAGATAGTGTGAACTCAAGCCTTTGTAAATTAAACTCTAAGCAAATGAAACATTAGGTATTATTGGGTATCATCTCTACACTCGTACTGCATGAGGATTTAATTTATCCACAAGATGTATCTCCTTATAGTAAGAGTAGCTGAACGTTAGAAGAGAGGCCACAGATCATCTTTTTCTGGAGGCTTTTGAAAAATAAAATTAATAAAATTGAATCTCTGCTCTTCGGGATAATATGTATGAGGTCTAGTTTCTACATAAGAATCACCTAGGGAACTTTTAAAAAATAATAGTTGCAAAAAATTACTACAGATTCTGATTCAGTAGGATGAGGATAGGCCCAGTTATTTTTATTTTTTAAATCTCGCCAATGGATTCTCAAGCTTCTTTCAGCCATGGAATCCTGGTACACTGATGTGCTAAATGCACATGTGAAAGAAACATCTTTATATTAAAATGGTAAAGGAAAGTTGATGAAAACTGTCCTGTCAAGATCATGCAATAAAATTAAAAGAACCAAATTTGTCACGTGGTAAAGAAATTTGGTCCACTAGTTAGCAAATTTCTTAACAGTTGGGACTTGATTATACTTTTGATATCTCACCTCACCAATATTTGTCATAAAGTATGTGTGAGAAAATAAAAAAGCACTGCCTGATCGATAACAAGGTAGCATTTTTAACAAAATCCATTTGCAACTAGAAATGTTTTGAGATTTTCAGAAAAGCTGGCAAACTTTCCCCTTGTTAAAAGAAATAAAAATTTTCCATTTGCTATTCCAAATGTGCCAGGAGGAAAACTCAGGACAAACTGCTCACAAAGCAAAAGCAGGAAGGGTATCACCACAATAAGACTCAATGGGAGTTATGTCTTAGCAATGGGAGCTGCCACCCAAATGTTCAAGTTCAACTGCATTGACCATACCTCATGAGAGATGTTTGACACACGCAGGTTGGTGCCACAGGTCTCACCATTTCTTCTCCCCTTTTTGTTGCAGCTGCTTCTCTGTTTCCTTAAAATCCTATACAGGTTGTGGGACAGGCACATTTATGGGTAAGCGTCAACATTTATGAAAAAGAAAACATGAGCTTTGACTTCCCAGCTAAGGGAGGTTAAGGCAATGTTTAGAAAACTGAAGAGGAACTGTGAGGGCAGGGTGGGGTGACCACAAGAAATCAACCAGAAGCAAGAAGCAAGCCAGACCAAAAAAGGATAGGGACAAAAGCAAGTTGGAAGATGTAACTGACAGGAAATTAGGGAATTAAGGTCAGAGGTGAGAAAGGAGATATCAGATAAGAAAATGAAATACACAGTGGAAAAAATATGGCGAATTTTCTAGAACTTACAAAACAGGGCCATGAATTCTGTTTTAATCATTCAAAACAAGTGGTCTATTTGAAAGCAGGGTTAACCTTACATATTGGCACAGCTGGTACTCCAGGCATGTTACAGAGATGCCAGGAGGCCCACAGGACCGAACTATATTTTCCACACCAAACTATCATGGTGCCTGTAACACCCGCTACCATTTAAGGTAAAAGTGCTAGAGAACTAAAGGACGGTAGTAAAGCAATCACTGGATTGAGGTATGGCTATCTGGAAAGAGTCACAAATTAAAGCCACCGCAGTAATCAGTGTATTTGCTAATCATTGACAATTTATTGTGTCCTGGAGAGAAAGAAGTATCCTGAACAAATAGGTGATACGTATAGTTCGGGTATCGATCCGCCTGCTGCATGTATGCCGGGCACTGGGCTTGACCGGAGGAAGGAGGGTGCCCTTAGGTGGCGCTGCCTGGGGCCACCTGGTGTGTGCCGTGGAGGAGGGCACCTGGGGAAGGAGTCTGGGGACAAGGCGGCCTTGGTGCCTGCGGGTCGGGGACAGGAGGTGTGGGGGCCCGGGCGGCGGGGGCGGCTGTGAGGGGAGCGGGCCCCTTTCCCTGCCGGAGTGCGCGGCCCGGGGCGGGCGGCGGCCGCCCAGGCCCAGGCTGCAGGGGCTCGCGATGCCGCGGGCTGGGCTCTTACCCCACGGCGCCGCAGGCCCACGTGTCCTCCCCGGCGTCCTCTCCGAGGGCGCTGCCGCCCCGAGGCCGGGGCCCCTCCGCGCGCGGGGCGAACGGCTTGGCGGGCGCCCCCTCCGGCTCGGCCTTCCTGCAGCGGGGGGACAGAGAGGGCAGCGAGCGGCGGCCGGCCGCGAGCGCCGCGCCCTCGGCCGTGAAGGGCCTGCGAGGCCCGCGGGCCGGCGCCGGCCGGGACCGCGCTCGGGCCAGGCCGGGCCCAGCGAGGCCAGCCTCGGCCGGGGCTGCGGCGCGCGGCCTCGCCAGCGGCCGGGTCGCCGGGCAACCAGCGGCGGGAGGGGCGCCCGGGCGGCCGCCGTTCCACCCGGGCCACCGGTATTGGTGGGCCGAGGGCCCGTCCGCCGCCCAGCCCCGCAGCCCCTCGGGGGCCGCCTGGCCGCCGGGCCCGCAGGGCGCACGAGGCTGCCGGGGAAGGGCGCCCAGCCTCGGGTCCTGCCCCCGCGCCCCGCGGGGCCCCCTCAGGGGCTGCCCCAGCCACTGGGCCATCGCGGCCGGAGCAGCGCCGCCAGCCGCCCGCGCGAAGGTCTGAGCCCCCGGGGCCTTCTCGGGGCTTTCCCGGCCTTCCGGAGTCTTCCCGGGCCGCCTCGGGCGTCCTCGGCCTTCCGGGGCCTTCTCCGAGGCCTCCTCGACTTTCTTGGACCTTTCGGGGCCGCCCCGGCCCTTCCCTGGGCCTCCCCGGGTTGCGGGCTCCGCGAGGCGGCCAGTAGGCCTCGGCACCCAGGGCCTGGCCCACGGGCCTCCCCTCCATTGCCTGTTCCAGGACAGCGGGGCTCGCTCGTACTGGCTACTAACCACGCAGATGCACGCGTGGACGTGCCCAGAGGTGTAACCATGCCTCTAATATGGTAAATGGTTAAAACGGAAGACGAAAGGTATCCCTGCCGAGAGCAAGCCCGCCTCTGATCAGTTGCAGGTCAGTCATCGGTCTTATAATGGGAAGGACAAAAAATTCTTTTTCTGTCTGGAATACAAGTCTATCAGAGCAGCCCCATTCCGTACCTCCAGATGGGTATCTCTTATTGCCACTCCATGAAGTAAGTGGAGGGGAAGGGGAAGAGTATCTCTATCCTCTCTGTACGCCTCTCCCTCCCACATCAGTTTGAAATAGAGAAAAACTTAAAATAAATCAAAACTAATTATATATGTAAGTACAGTATATGAATACTGAAATTGTCAGTTATATTTTTTCTAATAAAACATTGACATTGAGGAAGAAATTTCTGCAATCCTTTGCTGATGGTGCTCTTATGTTCTGTCAGGTTGAACACCCAGCTCAAGATTCAAACCTCACAACATTTTTCAATAAGCATCTAAATACACTGGTCTTAACATCTGGGGAGAGGGGACCCCGTGCCATTTGAGAATCTTCGCTCATATCTACCAGCTGTTGAACACAATTTCAAAGGGCTCTCAGATACTTGACACCCTGCTCATGTCTCCTTCTTCTGCACTTCTCTTTTCCCTCAGAAGGCCTTCCCTTTACAGAAGCCTTCCCACACACACTACTCTAGTTCATGACACCCTGTCTCTGTTTTCTTCTTTGCACTCTTCACAACCTTTTTGTTAGTCCTGCTTACTTGTCTGCTTTTTCCTTGTCTGTCTCTCCCCAGTGTATTATAAAACTGGGACTGGGGCCTTGCCTGTCTAGTTCATTGCTGTATTCCCATCACTTTAAAATTGTGCTGATCACTCCGGTTAAAATGGCTATTATCAAAAATACAGAAGATGTTAATAACGAATGCTGGTGAGGAAGTGGAGAAAGGGGAATGCTTGCATACTGTTGGTGGGAATATAAATTAGTACAGCCACTATGGAAAACAGTATGAAGGAAACTAACAATGGAACTACCGTATGATACGGAAATCCCTCTACTGAGTATTTATCCAAAAGGAAATACGTATATGGAAGAGATACCTGCACTCCCGTGTTCCTTGCAGCACTATTCCTAATAGCCAAGATATGGCATCAGCCTAAGTGCCCATCAGTGGATGAATGGATAAAGAATATGTGGTATATGTACATAATGGAATATTATTCTGCTAAAAAAGAGAATGAAATCCTGTCACTTGGAGCAATGTGGATGACACTGGAGAACATTATGTTAAGTGAAATAAGACAGACACAGAAAGATAAATACTGCATGTTTTCACTCATATGTGGGAGCTAAAAGAAATTGATCTCGTGGAGATAGAGAGTAGAATGATGGTTACCAGAGGCTGGGAAGGGTAGGGGAGCGGGAGAGATAAAGAGGGGATGGTTAATGGGTACAAACATACAGATAGATAGAAGGAATAATCTCTAGTGTTCAGTAGCATAATAGAGCAATTACAGTTAATAATTTATTATGTATTTCAAAATAACTAGAAGACTAGAATTGAAATGTTCCTAAAACAAACAAATGGTAAATGTTTGAGGTTATGGATATCCCAGTTACCCTGGTTTGATCATTGTATGCTTGTAAAAGCTGTTGTTAGAGCAGGAGACCAGGAGACAGGGTTGAGCAAGATGCAGGGGCTTGCAGATTGGGTGCAGGTGCTAAACAGCACCTAACTAACAGAAGCTAACTAGGGGGACTGATAACCACAGGCAGGAGCCAGCTTCAACTGGCTCGTCAGCTCTGTCACCTCACGTGAACTTTGGCTAATTACAATATCATTTTCATTGCAGTTTTAAATTTTCTCTGCCCTTGAAATCACCATGACACTTTTTTTTTTTTTTTTTTTTGAGATGGAGTGTCACTTTGTTGTCCAGGCTAGAGTGAGTGTCATGGCGTCAGCCTAGCTCACAGCAACCTCAAACTCCTGGGCTCAAGCGATCCTTCTCCCTTCAGCCTCCTGAGTAGCTGGGACTACACGCATGCACCATCATGCCCGGCTAATTTTTTTTATATATATTAGTTGGCCAATTAATTTCTTTCTATTTATAGTAAAGATGGGGTCTCGCTCTTGCTCGGGCTGGTTTCAAACTCCTGACCTTGAGCAATCCTCCTGTCTCGGCCTCCCAGAGTGCTAGCCACCACGCCCAGCTTCCATGACACTTTTGAGACAACCATATAAGGTATGAAAATGGAAGGTGTTGAGAAATATGATTGAGGAATTAATGAGATGTAGCTCATAAGACCATTATTTTATTGTATCACCCTATGTTACTATATTAAAGACAGAAAGAGGAGTTTGCAGGGTTTTGCCCTGAAGGAATGTGTGAACTCAATGGCTTACTTATCAGAAGCTGCTATCAAGGGAGGGCTCTCATGGCTCCAGTAGGGATGTTTTCCAGGAAGTCTTCCCAGTATCTCAAAATCTGTGAGCTTCTGAGGCAGGGCAAATATGACCCACAAGATGGGAGCCAGGGACAATGAGTGCACTTTGCCCAGAGACATGCCCCTGTGTTATAAACAACCTGTTTTATAGAGATGGGTTTCCTGCTCTCTCCTGATTGTCTACCTTTAATTCCACAATAACTAGATCAAAGAAATGTAGGGTCACTATACCTCTTTTGTTATACCTTCGTCAATTGACAACTACCTCTTAGAACTTAGAAGTTAGTCTCTGATAGACTTTATACTTGTTTGTTCACCTTGATAGATTAGAAGCCCTTTGAGAGGACTTTTTGACCCCAACCCACTACCTGTCTCCCCTAGCAACTGCATTCCCTGATATGTAAATGTGTTACCCTGACAACTGGTAATTGATATCTGTGATTATAAAAACCTATGTGGATCTAACCATATTGCTGGATGTTCATGGGGATATGTCCAGTCTTCTAAGTACCCCGCTGTGGTTATTCCAATCTTTTTATATAAAACTATAAAGTATACCTTAGACTATGTGTATTCTTTTATTCTATTTCCTATCAATTTTCTTATCCTCTGTGGCAACCCCTATCTAAGGGATCTGGCTTCGTGGGGAGAAGCAACTGATCTCCTAGCAGCCCTGCCTCAACTCTCCCCTCAAAAAGGCAACCCACTTCTAGGAATTACTACCTAAATTCTTTGTAAAAGCCAACCCCTTGGTCTTACATATTCCTCCCCTCAATTAGTAAAACTACAAAAGATCTAAAACCACTTCCTCCCAGTGCAGCTGTTCTTTTTCAAGCCTGCCTGTGCTCTCTCCTGAGGTGGTACTTTCAATAAAAAAAAAAAAAAAAAAATCTGTCACTTGCTTGGCTTATATGGTGCATACTGAAATTATTTTCCCTGTAATCACCAAGAATGTGGAAAAACCTCCATTTGGAGGCTGGTAACAGTGTCACGTGTGCTCCATAAATACGTACAACTATTATATATCCATAAAACTTAATAATAAAAAATTAAAACAAAACTGTGCTAGGCACATGGTAGAAGTACCGTCAATATGGGTGAATGAGTAAGATTTGGGCAGGCCTCATTCCCTGATGCCTCCTTGGAGGTTTCCTTTCTGGGCCCTCTCCTCCTTCAGCTATTTTCCATTGGCTGCTTTCAAATACAGAACGGCTCAAATGCCCTCCCAGTGTCTAAGGAATAAAACCTGAATTTTGCAGCCAGCCTTTTAAATGTCTGCTCATCACCTTTCTAGTTCCTGCTCCGTGTCAAACACATCAGACATTTCACAATTTCCCTAAACAGCCTTTCTCTCCAGGTCATACACCATTTTTACTTTTCCCATCATAGTGCCTCCTTTTTATCTCCTTTTGTAACCTGCCTGGTGAAATGCTAGTCACATCGTTCTAGCCCACAGCTCATCTTTCCTGACTGCTCAGGAAGAATACATTTCTACCTCCTCCAAGATCCCTATTTCTATTTACAATTTATTTATAACCCTTTACTCAGTTACATTATAATTATTCATTTAAAATATCTCAATCACTATCTTTTCAACACCTCAGAGGTGAGCTCTGCCCTTCTGCTATGCAGGAGAGTGCATGGCATGTACTGTAGTAGGCAGTAAATGTTTGAAATAATTTAATTACCACAAAAATAATATTTTCTAGAATGCATGGTGTGGTTACTATGTTTCAGGCATACTGCCAATATTTTATATGGATTACCCAATTTAGTACACCTGACAATCCAGTGAAGCAGGTACTATTAATGTTAGTTATTCCTATTTTATAAATGAGTAACCTGAGCCTTCAATATATTAAGTAACTTTTCACAACTTACAATTATTTGAAAAATAGTGAATTGGGGGATAAATATTGGGGTCCATGTATTCCCAACTGACACTTTCTACAGATAATGTCTAGGAAATATGTCCCCTTTGAGGCAGAAATCACATGTGTACGAGTGTGCGTGAATTCCACGCGTCCGGCTTACGCAGCTCCCATCTTCCTCGCTTTCTGTTTCTGTTTCTGGTTTTCCCTTTTGTTTCAGAACTTGCATTGGTTCTCGATCCCTCAGAGTCCCTCTTAGATTTGTCCTCCATAAATATATCTTATAAGATTCTCTTTTTTTCCTTGACAGAACTTATTCTTAAGAATCTTCCTTTCCTATGATCGTCCCCATTTGACTGTTCTTCCATTCTCTGGAGACTTCTGGACGCTTTGGCATCGACATCATGGCCGGCCCTCCCCCTGTCACTAACTGTGAAAGGCTGTGGGGCGTGAAATACAAGGGACAGGGCTAGGAGAATGGTGCCTCTCCACACACTGGGGGCTGGGCTGCCTCTAGCCCAGCCTCGGCAGGTGGAGAGTCACAGTGGCTTAGGTTCAGCTTTCGCTGCAGTCCTTGGCCCTTCCTTCTAGCCATCTCACGGCCACGCCCAGGGGCCACACCCAGCGGCAGCCTCAAGCTTGCCTTAAAACCTGCACCTTGTTAGCTAGTCCCAAGTGAAGTCATTACTTTTATAAATGAAGTAGGATAAGGTAGATGCTCTCTAGCTCATGGCGTTTAGCAAGTTCTTATGTTAATTACAACGGAGGTAGTCTAGTAAGAGGGAAAGAAGGCAAGTCTTGGACCAAGGCAGTAAGCGTGCCTTGCTGCCCACCTCAGTTTCTCCTCCTGTGACACAGGTGACAATGTTGACCACATAACTATTTTGCATGTATTTTTTTATTTATTTTTGAGACAGAGTCTCACTCTGTTGCCTGGGCTAGAGTGCCGTGGCGTCAGCTTAGCTCACAGCAACCTCAAACTCCTGGGCTCAAGCAATCCTCCTGCCTCAGCCTCCCGAGTAGCTAGGATTACAGGCATGCGCCAGCATGCCCGGCTAATTTTTTCTATATATTTTTAGTTGGCCAATTAATTTCTTTCTTTTTATAGTAGAGACGGGGTCTCTCTCTTGCTCAGGCTGGTTTCGAACTCCTAACCTTGAGTGATCCTCCCGCCTCAGCCTCCCAGAGTGCTAGGATTACAGGCGTGAGCCACCACGCCCGGCCCACATAACTATTTTGACATACATTCTTTTCATTATACTGGGTTATGCAACGGAATGTCAGTAGCAACTTAGTTTCTAATTATTCTGGAGAGAAAAGGCTTCTGATTGAGTCTACTCCTCTCAGGGCCTTTCGTGCTTTGATGTCACCCATGCACTTGCCCCCCCCTCCCTTTATCTCTCCCTTCAGTGTCACCAAGCATGGCTGGTCACATACTAACAGCAGAATCTTGCTCAATGTTATTATGTAAACATTTTTAGAAAGGACAATATTTTCTAATTAATAATATGCATTTTGGTTTTCAAATAAGATGCTAAATCATTTCAACTCAGTTATAGGCAATTTGTATTTAGCACATGGTTTTGCCAAGTAGTCTTTTTTATCCTGATTTAGGAGACTTTGTTGATAAACATTCAGTTTTGTCTTTTAAGAGACAGAGTCTCACTCTGTTGCTCAGGCTACAGTACAGTGACAGGTATAGTCATAGCTCACTGTAACCTCCAACTCCTGGGCTCAAAGGATCCCAACCCCTTGGCCTCTCAAAGTGCTGAAATTATAGGCAAGAGCCACCATGCTTGGCCCATTCATCTTAAATAGCCTAAGTTTCTTGTATTCATATAATTCCTTTTTAAGAAATATATGAAAAAATATTTCTAATTTCAAGTTTTAAAAATTAACCTTTAACACTTTGCTTTTTTAGCAATGTCTTTTTAGGGAAGCCGTTGTTTGGTTGCAAAAATGTAAGAAATCTTGTTTAAAATCTATTTCTTCCTAGAATGAATGTGATAGTGATATATCTGATCATATTTCCAAAAGGAAGATAAACCAAAATTGACCTTTCTCAGTCAATTCTATATCTGCATATGTTACAGCTAGTACATTTGAATAAATTCTCCATCATATATTTCCTCCTTTATTTTAAGACTTGATTTCTGTAATTTGACTTCCTAAGTCTTTGTATCTTTCAGATGCCTATACTCTGTATGTATGTGTTCCTAGCCTTATATCACAAATTCACTTTAAGTTTTAGTTTCAGTTTCAGTATCAGAACTTACTTTCTGGTGCCAGGAAAGGCGTAGCTTGAATTCTCTTTCTGGTAGTCGGGCCCCTCCCACCTCGTCTGCTGTGAACGGAACACTCTCTTGAGAAGGCTTTCTTTAAGGAACTTGGAGATGATCTTCTCCCTCTGAACATTACTGAACACCTTGCCTTCTGGAAACCAGCTGATCTTGTCACATCCTCCATGGCAGGGGGGAAGGGGAAGGTGTTCCGGAGACACAACAGCCCTCTTTGGAACAAAAGAGAAATTGCAGCTTACCTAAAAGTCATGACTAAAAGATCAGCCTCACTAGCAAAACAACCCGAGCCCTGCAGCTGCTGCGCTGCCCCATCACCTCCGCCAGCACCTGAGCGGCCGCCGCCATGCAGGCAGCTTCCACCACATCAAGGACGGGAGTGCTGGCTTAGGAGGACTCTTTATAATCGTTTCTTGGGAGAAAATAATAATATATTGAAAACACAGTTTTGAAGAGGTAAAGATATTGGTCATTGAAGAATAGAATTGGAAATAAGAGGAATACAAAACAAGATGCACAGATGGAAGCATTTGCTTCACCAAGAACATGAGTCCGTGGGCCGAGGCCTGGCTGGCCAGCTGCGCCGTCCGCGCCGCCCTGAGCAGCGCTCTTTCCTCTGCACCGTCACTAGCGAGAAGGAATGAGATCGAGTCCTAGAAGAAGCCTTACTCATTGTAAACACAAAACCAAACAGTATCCATCTGATGGTTTGTTTAAACATAAAATTTAATAATTGCGACTTCTGATTTCAACCAAGGCCAACAAGTTTCAGATAACTGTAAATGTTCCATCCATTGCTATTTAGAGCAATGATTAAGAACATCTGAGTCAACTTACATGGAGTGTAAAGAATCACATTTTAATAGATCACTTCCTTGGCATGTTGAGTAGCTTTCCTATTTATATAAATGAGAGTTTTGAGTAGTCACTCAACCTTGCTTGGAAGAAAGAAGCCAGGGGATATGTCTCCTGGCTGCCAGAACATTCTAACTCCACGACCCCAACCAATTCCCTTCTCTTTCCCAAAATACCCATAAAATTGTGAGAATCACATTGCATTCAAGTAGTTCTTGTTAGTTCTATAATGTATAATTTAAATGCAAACATATTTAAAATATCTTTTTGTTTATGTTTTAAAGTTTTACTTTTTAAATTTGTAAGTTGAAAATTAAGAAATGAATTTTACTTCTGCTCTGGACACTGATGTATCATATGGTATAATCGTGATGTTGTTATAGTCTTAGCCAAAGATTTTTGATGTTTGGTAAAAATCTGGCCAACACTAGCAGCTTTGGCCGTGGCATGCGGGGCTCACTTGCCTTCTCGTTTTCTCACCATTCTGCAGTGTGGTTCCCCAGCTGGCTCTTGCAGGATAATTATGGGGAACCTGGCTCCACTGGTGAAATTAAGGAGTAACTATAACAAACTCTATTATTTGCATTTTTGTCCCAAATCTGGGAGTAGTTCTTGGCAGGTTCTATCTTGCTTAGGGCTGTGCTACCAATGTGGTGGTTTAAGGTTATTTAGTACTTATGTTGTCCTCTGGTCTTTGGTCTATAGTGCAGAATGGCTTCTTACCAGTAAAGCTAGAGCCCAGCATTTTTGCTTGTCTACTTTGTTTCCTCAGTGTTAGTTTGGATAAGAGAATACGAGGCAGTCTGGCTTCTCACCTGTGTCAGTCTGGACATTGGCTCAGTTCGGGGCGATGAAGCTCTTTCCTCGGTTCTGCCCAGGACTGTGCTGATGTAACCACTCTCTCTAGGAGCCTGGCAGGTCTGTGGAGCCTTAATTAGGCACACACAGGGTGCAAGGCCTCTGCTCAGCGCCAGTCGGGAGAATAACACTGGATCTGTGCACACCTGGGTTTCCCTCTTTCCTTTAGGAAAGCTCTGTTTTCCTCAGAAATTGTCCATGTCCAGATAGGAAACTGGAGTTTCTGCCAAAAATCCCTGAAAGACTCGGCAGGAGGTTTGTGACGGGCTGGATTCCTCTGCTTGGGGGACACAGGATGAACCCTCAGGGTTCTGGGCCACTGCCTGGGCCATTGTGACTCTCAGAATGCTAAGCAAGCAGAGGCCGCTGTGTTCTGCACCGTCTTCTTGGCGATGGGGGAAAGCTTGGAGGAAGACAGCTGCGAGGCACTCCACCCTTCGTGTTCTTAGTTTGTTCTCCGCAGGCACCATGGGGACAGCTGGCAACAATCGTAGAGTGGTGAAATTGCCACCCCTTGGCAAATTTCAGAAGCTGAAAAACTACGCCCATTCCGAGGCCCTGACTCACACCTTTGAGACGCTGTCTAACCTTCACAAGCTGCTTCCAAACCATCTGATGGAGCTGCTCCATTCCTACAAGAGTGAAGAAGACCAAAAAAAATGTATGTGGGTAGAGGGTGGGTGTGGACTTTTTAGTAAGCGCACACTTCATCTCGATACAACCTGCCTCTTCGTTCAGCCGTGACTAGGGACTTACTCTTAACACAGTCAGTGTGATCAGTCCTTGAGACCTGGGCCCCGTCGTGCGCTTGGGGCTTACTCTGGAACTTGCCCTGCACTGACTTAACCATCACTTCCTCGTGTTCCTTTTATTTAAAGAGGCTTCTGTGCACCAAGATAGGTCTGTCCAGTTTCCTTAGGCAAAGTATACCGTGAGAAGACAGAAAGGGTACTGCGTGGAAAGCCACTACATTTGCAATTCAAGCTTTAGATTTGACTTTAAGATCAGGAAGAGAACCTTCATCTTGAAGGTCAGGGTTTGAACTTTATTCCTTTGCTTTATTTCCTTTTATTCGTTTCTCCTGTTGCCATGACTGTATGACCGTAGGAAGAAGCTGGAGATTTTGTAGTTTGGAATGGCCTGCTACTCCTGAAATTCCGTCAGGATAGTTGATAATTGAGCCACTTTGTAGAACTGGGTGGAGGCTGCCTCCCGAATTGTTCATGCTTACATGGTGGCCACCTGTGCCCATGAGCTTAGAAAACAAAACATCAGCTGCCACAGTGACTAAGACACAGTCATGGGGACAAAGGTAGGTATTGGTGTAATGATTTTAAATCTCTGAGACATTTGGCCATTTGTAATTTGATGAATCTCTAAACCCTGAATCCAGAGTAGTGTGAATCAATCCTAATATCTAGATTGCATTACAGATTACATAAATAGTACATATAAATCATCAAGAAAAATATAAGCAACCTAATAGAATGGGTAAACTTGTGGACAGGTGTTTCACAAGATTTAACTACAAGTTATCAATAAGCATGACAGATATTCAAACACTCTGGCCATCAAGGAAGTAAAAGATAAACAAGGAGACATTTTAGGCCACCATTCTGGTCAAATTTAAAATGGTCAATAATGAGAACGTGGGGAAAATCAATGCCCTCACACACTGTTGATGGTGTGTTGATTGATTCAGGTTTTTTGAAGGATGATTTGAAAGTCTTTGTTGAAACTTCATATGTGTGTTACTGGCTTATTGAAGCCGAACTTGGTCAAGAGTAAGCTGAAAATAATTCTCTTCTTTCTCACAATTCCACCTTTTGACCCATTCTGTTGACTTGTTCACCCTTGGGTGACATTGCAGGCAGATCTCATAGCTTTCTGGGTCATATTCAGATAAGAAAAAGTTTACCCTAATATCCAAGCTCTAAACTCTCACCCAGGTGAAACCCTCTGTTTGCCACTGTTTCAGCCCGACCAGTGGCAGAAGCCTGGGGAAGGCCCAGCCGCCGGGGGCTCTCTCCTCGCCCTGCTCAGCCTCCTCCCTCTCAGGCTTCTGTGGGAGGGAGAAAGGGCAAGAAGCTCAACAGCTTTTGTCTTGACTAGTCAGATCTCAGCCTGTGATCTCAGATTTGTGCCCTCTGGGAGTGGCAGCTGTCAGAAGCTGACTGGCTCTTTTCTGGGGCATTTGTGTGGGTTTTTGCTATTTCCCAGCTGGGGGCTCTCATTTGCACAGCCTCCTGCTGACATTTCCCTCCTTCCCTCTTCCACACCTGTCTTAGTCCATTTAAACTGTTGTATCAAAATACCATGGGCTGGGCCGGGTGGCTCACGCCTATAATCGCAGCACTCTGGAAGGCTGAGGCAAGAGGATGACTTGAGGGCAGGAGTTCAAGACCCGCCTGAGCAACATAGCAGGACCTCATCTCTACACAAAATTAGCCTGTGTGGTGGTGTGCACCTGTAGTCCCAGCTACTAGGGAGGCTGAGCCAGGAGGATCCTGGAGAAAACATATTTTCTCCTCCTTATGGTTTTCTTAATAACATTTTCTTTTTTCTAGTTTACTTTATTGTAAGGATATAGCAAATAATACATATAGCACATAAAATATGTATTCATCAACTGTGTATGTTATTGTAAGCCTTCTGGTCAACAGTAGGCTATTCGTAGTTAAGTTTTGGAGAAGTCAAAAGTGGCAGGCAAGGTGGCATGTGCCTATAACCCCAGTTACTTGGGAGCCTGAGAGGGGAGGATCCCTTGAGACCAGGAGTTCAAGACTAGCCTAAGCAACATAGTGAGACCCTGTCTCAAAAAAGGGTTACACGCAGATTTTTGACTGTGCAGGGGTCAGTGCCACTAACCCCTGTGTTGTTCAAGAATTAACTATACTTTGCAAGGGGATGACATTTAGCTTGTAGAAAAGCTAAGCCCCATACCTTCACCCAGGTGGTAAAAGCATAATGACTGCCATCTCTGCTCTCATTTCTCTGTGGCCACAGGCAGCTGTGGTCCCTCCCAGCCACTCACCATTTAATGTTTCCAGGTGTTCTGGGCTGAATTATATCCCCCCAAAAGATATATTGAGGTTCTAACCTCCAGTAGCCTGGAATATGACCAGATTTGGAAATAGGATCTTTATAGGGTAGAGACGCAATTAATTAAGTTCAGATCAGGTCATATCAGAGCAGTGGGGGGGTCTTAATCCAATATGATTGATGTCCTTATAAGAAGACAAAGACACACAAGAGAAGATGGCCATGTGACAACAAAGGTGGGAGTGATGTAGCCATAGCTAAGGAATACCAAGGATTGCCAGCAAACACCAGAAACTAGGAAGAGGCAAGGGAAAATGCTCCCCTAGAGGTTTCAGAGAGAGCACGGCTCTGCTGACACTTTGATTTCCAACTTCCAACCTTCTGAATGTGAGACAATAAGTGTGTTGTTTTAAGCCACCCAGTTTGTGGCACTGTTATGACAGCCCTAGGAAACTGATACACCAGGTGTACGGGACATGGTCTGATTCTCCAGGTAGTTCCCTTAAAATACCTCTTAAAGCTAGGGGGTGGGGAGAGGAAGGGAAATGCTATAGTACTATGGCCCCAAGCCCCAGGCCGCGGACCAGTACTGGTCCATGGCCTGTCCGGAAGGGACCATGCAGCAGGAGGCGAAGCCTCATCTGTCTGGACAGCCGCGCGCGCCCGCGGCCGCCGAGCCCGCCTGTCAGGTGGGCTTCTCCTAGAGCGCGCCCCTGCTGTGAACTGCGCATGCGGAGGATCTAGGCCGCGCGCTCCCTATGAGAATTTGTCCAAAACCATCCACCCCAACCCAGTCCGTGGAAAAATTGTCTTCCATGAAACCGGTCCCTGGTGCCAAAAAGGTTGGGGCCCGTTGATACGGTGCATAGCACTACCGCAACTCTGTGCCTAAAGAACCCTCGAGTGCCTTGAACAGTGCTTAACTTTCCTTAGTGTCAGGTAGGTCTCAAATCTGCAGGTGGAGGGCGTAGGCCGGGAGGGTGGTTCCTAGGGGTGGAGAAGCTGGGACCAATCAGGAGAAGGGCTGCAGACAAAACATAGTTAATGAAAACCCAGGAATCAGAGGTTTTGAGGTTTACACAGTTGTGGAGCATAAGTGGACAGGAACACTGCCAGTCATTTGGTACTGTCCCACACCCCCGTGAGCCCGCCCCAGACCAGGCCAGTAAGAGGAAACCGCCTGGGAGTCCTCAACGTCTTTCTCCCCTCCTGGAGACCGACCTGTTTCTCTCTTTTCACTTTGGGTAGCTTCCTTTACTTTCACTTTGTATAGTTTCTTCCTTTTCTGTAATAAACTGTTTGTATGGGATGGCTTTGTATCTGTGATCACTCTGTCATGGCTCAACTCGATACCAGGACTCCCTCTTGGCACAGGGAACCGAAGACCAGGGGTCATCGAGAGACCTAACATTAGATAGATAAGTATGTTGTCCATAGACGAGTATCTGGCACCTACTGAATTTTTCTCAGACTTTACGGCCTTGGACAAAACTGAAACGAGAAAAATTCATATTTCATATCCTGTTACATATGCATGCCCTTCAACTCAGCAATTCCGCTTCTAGTTATTATCCTACAGAAATACTCATGCCTATGCACATAGGTGCATTGACATAGATGTGTATTGAAGCCTTGTTTGTAATGGTGAAAACATTTTAAACAGCCTAATGTCATTGAATAGCAGAATGATTAAATGAATGAGCATATCCATACTGTGGAATACAAAAAGAAGGTTGACATTAAAATATCTACAATATATACTGTAGAGTTTTAATAAGCTGCAAAAGAAGAAACACAATATGAATCCATTTATGCCAAGAGAAAATTATACATTTATTTGTGCATACAAATATTATGTAAATGCGTAGAAAAGAGTTCTGAAAGGAGACTCAGCAAATTCAAGATAATTCCTTCCTTGGAGAAGGAAGATGAAAGAAAATGTTCTTCTGAGTTGTTTAATTTTATGTATTCCAACAGAAATCTTTTCATGTATTATTTTTGTAATTAAAATGTAATTTTAAAATCGAAAATGCAATGAGTATTTAAGTGAAGTTGGAGAAATGGATTTTAATTTTCTAGTGAACTTCCTATTTTATGTTGATTTGGATTTTGTTCCCTTAGCCTCCCAAAGTACACACTGATAGATGTTGATTTCTGATGCTGAATGAACTGTAAAAAAAACAAAAAAAAAAAAAAAAAAAAAAAAAAGATGTTGATACACCTTCAGGAGATGGTAGTTCCTGCCGTGTAAAACTGCCACACAGCAGTTAGGTGCTTTTGTCCCAGAGGTGTTCGGGTGCAGTGGTTGTTTGCTATTATTGGAAGCCAGTTTAAAGAGGTGCATGATGCAGCTGAGGTGAATGGCATTAAGAGGGAGGACATGTCTCCTTTGAGTCCCAAGTCTGTGCCTTCAGTGACCTGGCCTGAGGCTGAGTCTGGTCACTGGGGGCACATTGGCCTTTGAGGCCCTGAATTCTTCACTAAAAGACTGCTTCATTTCCAAAATGTCATTTTCAAATGTACAGTGGTTGCCTTGCAAGTGCATCCAGAAGAGATGACCCTATTTCTCTGACTTTCACCCATCAGATCATGAATTCCATCTTGCTACTACTGTGTCTA